TCCTTTATTTGTTTATATAAACGACTTTTATTCTTGGGAGAAAATATCACATACATCAACTTTAGTCTCTATTTTCCAGGCTATTGTAGTAACAGATGGGGAGCGTATTTTAGGTCTGGGTGATCTAGTATATTATTTTCTATTATAGTAACAGAAGGGGAGCGTATTTTAGGTCTGGGTGATGGAGTATATTATTTTCTATTTTCCAGGCTATTGTAGTAACAGATGGAGAGCGTATTTTAGGTCTGGGTGATGGAGTATATTATTTTCTATTTTCCAGGCTATTGTAGTAACAGATGGAGAGCGTATTTTAGGTCTGGGTGATCAAGTATATTATTTTCTATTTTCCAGGCTATTGTAGTAACAGATGGAGAGCGTATTTTAGGTCTGGGTGATGGAGTATATTATTTTCTATTTTCCAAGCTATTGTAGTAACAGATGGGGAGCGTATTTTAGGTCTGGGTGATGGAGTATATTATTTTCTGTTTTCCAGGCTATTGTAGTAACAGATGGAGAGCGTATTTTAGGTCTGGGTGATGGAGTATATTATTTTCTAATGTCCAATCTATTGTAGTAACAGATGGGGAGCGTATTTTAAGTCTGGGTGATCAAGTATATTATTTTCTATTTTCCAGGCTATTGTAGTAACAGATGGAGAGCGTATTTTAGGTCTGGGTGATGGAGTATATTATTTTCTATTTTCCAAGCTATTGTAGTAACAGATGGGGAGCGTATTTTAGGTCTGGGTGATCAAGTATATTATTTTCTATTTTCCAGGCTATTGTAGTAACAGATGGAGAGCGTATTTTAGGTCTGGGTGATCTAGGATCCTATGGTATGGGTATACCAGTTGGTAAACTGTCGCTGTATACGGCTCTCGGTGGAATCGTACCAGAACAATGTTTACCGATTTTACTGGACGTTGGCACCAATAATGAGGTCAGTTTTCCCTAAATTATTAACAAAATGGGGTGAAATGAATGGAGTTTAACATTCTACTATTCTGGCTACAGACAACACTATGCAGTGTGCAATGAGGAAATTTTTCCAAGACAGCATCATCTACTTACCCTGTTTCAATTCAAATTTGTGAAGGGATCAATATTTTGTACAGCCTGCAGCATCTCGCTTTACTGTTCCTTTTGAACGACTAGACGCTTTTTCCATGTCAGCCCCTCGAATAACTTAGGTTCACAGTTAAGGATTCTTTCTACCAGCTGGTCCTTGACCAAACCTCTTGGTATTGATTTTACAAGGATAACAGCTTATGTTCACAGTTAAGGATCCTTTCTATCAGCTGGTCCTTGACCAAACCTCTTGGTATTGATTTTACAAAGATAATAACTTAGGTTCACAGTTAAGGATTCTTTCTACCAGCTGGTCCTTGACCAAACCTCTTGGTATTGATTTTACAAGGATAACAGCTTATGTTCACAGTTAAGGATCCTTTCTATCAGCTGGTCCTTGACCAAACCTCTTGGTATTGATTTTACAAAGATAATAACTTAGGTTCACAGTTAAGGATTCTTTCTACCAGCTGGTCCTTGACCAAACCTCTTGGTATTGATTTTACAAGGATTATCTGTACCCATTTACAGCTGGGTCAACTGGAATAAAAGAATTTATGTTACTATTTTGACCTCATATAAACTATTACCTAATTTTTGATTTTCTAGAAATTACTGAATGACCCTCTGTATATTGGGTTAAAACGACCCAGGGTCAAAGGTCAGGAGTATGATGATTTCGTGGAAGAATTTATGACGTCTGCAGTCAGAAAGTGAGTTGGAATTTCTTTGATCTTAAATACTGTCTCTATTTACCATATATGGTTTTAGTGGATGAAATGTTTTACCTTGGAAGTTATTAAAGAGATTGTAAAGAGGTTTTCTTAATTTTCAATCAGACCTCTGAGGCCTTTGCAATTCCACTATCACGAAAAATGTTATTGATTTACAAGGACCTTTGCTATGGTGATATAATAAAGTGCATAATTAATGTGAAATGGTACAAATTGATGCTATCAATGTCCCTTTTACACATACAAAACTTAGAAAACCTCTTTACAATCTATTTAATGTATGTAGGGGCTTAATTATCGTTGTTGGGCCTTTCCCAAATTTACATTCCATCTAAAAAATATGTCCCGTCTTCAATTCACAGGTTTACAAAAAAATAATTCTAAAATTAAAAATGGGAGGGTGTAGGCCAGTCCAGGCTAGGTCAGCCTTAATTCCAGAATGGGCATGGTCTGCCTGTAAAACTACCACTGTCTTTAATAACTGTCTATGTATTTCTTTGTTTATCTTATAAATCTCTCCAGAAGTAGGTAATTTTCTATCAAATTGATGTATTCCAATGCTGAAATCCACAGTCCCTACTTGTGACCTAGGCCAGTGCTTCTATAAGAGAGTTTCTCTTACAAAACCTTATACAACTGTCATCTCCAATCTTTACAGGTATGGTCAGAATTGTTTGATACAGTTTGAAGATTTCGGTAACCACAATGCATTCCGTTTCCTGGAGAAATATCGTGATAGATATTGTACGTTTAATGATGATATTCAAGGTGAGGTCAAGGTCATTCTAGATGTTCAGGTTCGACTATCTGATTATGTATGTGTGTTGACAACAGGATGCTGAGACATGTGTCTAGAATTATCCACATTTGAATTTTAAAATGACGAATTATCTTTTTTTGAAACTCGGCCATTTACTCAAAAGACATAAATAATAGAAAGCGAAATTCCCAGTTTGAGGTATATGTGAAGGAATTATGTGATTTTCGAACATTTTCAGTATTTCTGAAGACTATTTACATATATTCAAGACTCAAATCAACACCTGAATGGTGAACCGTGGACTCTGAGTGTTTTTAGGTTTTTTGCTCCATTAATTGGTATATTATACAGTACTAAAACTTTTAGAAGTATCAGTACACAGTAAAAACAACAATATTTATAGAGAATAGAAGTCTATATAATGATACTGTTTGTATTAATCAGGTTTATTTCCAGTGTTGTAGTAATTTAATAGATTATATTTGTAATAGGTACAGCTTCAGTGGCTGCTGCTGGTGTTTTTGCAGCGTTAAGAATAACAGGGAAGAAATTATCAGATAATGTTTTTGTCTTTCAAGGAGCTGGTGAGGTATGTCTCAATTAATATTTCAAATATTACACTTACAAACATATTACACTTACAAACATTGGACACTTACAAACATTGGATACTTACAAACATTGGACACTTACAAACATATTACACTAACAAACATTGGACACTTACAAACATATTACACTAACAAACATTGGACACTTACAAACATATTACACTAACAAACATTGGACACTTACAAACATATTACACTAACAAACATTGGACACTTTTACTTAACTTAAAGAGATTGTAAAGAGGTTTTCTTAATTTTCACCAATTTGCCCCAGTCCAATTTTCAACCAGACGTCTGTGGTTCCTGTAATTTCACTAAAACTAGGTTTTTGAAGACTCACTTATTGCAAAATATGCTTTACCACGTAAGGAACTTCTTGATTAGTGACGTCATCAAACACTTAGTTTTAGTGGAATTGTAGGAACCACAGACGTCTAACTGAAAATCAGAATAGAACAAATTGATTCTATCAGTGTCCCTGATACACATAAAAATTTTAGAAAACCTGTTTACAATCACTTTAACTAAGCTAATCAGCACTTTGAGATGAAGAGTTCTTTTTTCAGGCCAATGCCTGTGCTTTGTTTTCATTTCACACTTCGTAGGGATCAATGTCAAGCTGATATTTGATTATTTAAGATGTAAACGTTGGTATCACTAGTATTATTATTGGTGTGTAAACACAGTTGATCATGTGACAAAATAAACACAGTTTGCGTAACTGTTATATAGAAGAGAGAATGATGATAGAAATAGAAATATATTTTTGTTACTTTCTATAATTTCTAGGCGTCTATAGGTATCGCTCAGTTGATAGCTTTAGCAATGGAAGAAGAAGGAACGAGTACAGAAGAAGCTAGGAGTAAAATTTGGATGGTCGATTCTCGAGGCTTAATAGTGAAAGTGAGTTTTAGTTTTATATCTTTTTATCACCTGGTCTGGGGCAGAGGAGGCTTATCAGTGAGTTAGACACTTGCTCTCCAGGTTTTAATTCTAGCATAGGTTGAATTACAGTTTCAGATTTATTTTTCCTTCTGTCTTGGGGGGAGGGGCCTGCTCAGTGAGTTGGACACTTACTCCCCAGCCTGTAAGTCAAGGGTTTTCTCTGAGTAAATAGTGAAAATGAGTAAGACTTATTAGTTTGATATCTTTTTATCACCTGGTCTGGAGCAGAGGAGGCTTCTCAGTGAGTTAGGCAC